CCGCTGGTGGTTTGGTTGCTACAAGCAACCTCTATTGAGAATTCGGTTTAACTTGAGGGGGAACTCGGTCATTCCGATCACAAGGACCGTATTAAAATTGAAACAATATAATGTTGCTCATCCAAACACTGTCAGCCCCAAGACCCTGGTTTAGTCCTGGTTGGGACTAATCAGAGCCTAGTGGCTCATTGTTGACGTCCTAAGCACTATGCTGCTGAGATCCGCGAGCAACGCTTGGTCCAGCGGGAACGAATTCAAAGTCAAACTTGGAGAATCCGCTGGTGGTTGGGCTGCTACAAGCAAACTCTATTGTGACTTCGGTTTACTTGTGGTGGACCTCGGTCATTCTGAGCACAAAGACCGTAAGTAAAATGGAAACATTATATTGTTTGCTCATCCCAAAACTGGCACCTCAATACGGCGGTTTCGTGCTGGTTGGGACTCATCGGTTGGAGATATCCTTAGTTGGGCTGGAACTCCGAGCCTAATGACTCTTTGTTGACGCGATAAGCACTACGCCACAGAGATCCGCGAGCAACGCTTGGTCCAGCGGTAAGGAATTCAAAGTCAAAATTGGAGAATCCGCTGGTGGTTGGGTTGCTACAATCAACCTCTAATGAGACTTCGTTTGACTTAAGGTGAACCTCGAACATTCCGAGCACAAAGACCGTAAGTAAAATGGAAACATTATAGTGTTGCTCATCCCAACACTGGCACCCCAATACGGCGGTTTCGTGCTGGTTGGGACTCATCAGCTGGTGATAGCCTGAGCGGTAGCGATTCGACTTTTGTGGTGGAGTACAGAGTATGGAGCAGACGTGTTTTTTGCTTTTCTTTAATTCTGGGATTTGTGGGTGCCATGCGGTTATAAACTAATGTCCCACTGGTTGATGTCATCCACCCGTGTAGCTATTATTGATGTTGAATTTGATTCTGAGATATTGGAGCAATATAAGCACGACATAGTTCGTTGTTTCTTATAAATACTCGACAAACAGCAATGAAAATGAAAACGCTTCCAGTTTTACGTGGTATGAGTTTGTCAGAGAGGCATGATGGTAAGTTTCGTGGACTCATGGTCGGTGCAGGCAGTAAAATTAATACCTTTGGAAGTGTATCCATCGGCAGTGTTGCATGAATCGGCAGGTCCTGTGCAGTTCAAGGCCAACAGTGTTTTACTAGGGTTCTGTCTAAAGAAGAATCTGATTTGTTGTCATTTTTCACCAGTGTGGCAACAGCCAGTAGGTATCGCGAAATTTGGAGTTTCACGCATGTATGAAAGAGTAGGCAATGTTATGTATGATGTATTTGAATAATGTCGCAGATAGTCCTTGCGCTGAATGCAAGCATTGTGTGCTGTATCAGACAGAATATACGATCATTTTCCATAATTCCAGTTACTGGATGTATGAGCTAAGTATAGCGAGATAACAACTGTTCATATAAATGTGTTAGATTAAACATCAAGGAACTCTAGTTTGAAAGCGAGTGACGAGGTCTACAAACATGGATCCTTGCAGCAGAACGTACCTATTACACAGAGAAATGAGTTGTACTAGGAATTCAACCGTTTACTTATCTAGCCACGCTTACTTTGGTTAACGACGGGATGTTGTTCGGTCCACTGCTGCAGACTTGTCCGAAGTGGCTAGATGCACTCTATTTCGGTTGCCGTGCATACATTGATGCTGTCGATACAGAGTTAAATAATCTAAGACAGCGACTGATATCATGAATATAGTCTTATGGATTGGTGTGGTGTTGCATAATCTGTAGAGCATATACAATTTTGAATTAGATCATTGGGTGACAATAAAGATTGAGTATAATCTTATCCTTTCGGTTAGCTAGTAGTAGGAGCCGAGGAGGTAGAACGTTTGCAAAACCCGTCTAGCCTATGAGTCATAAGGATAGGTTTAGCACAAATCCCGTTTGGGAGTTTTTTTATTAAAGAGTAGCTATGCACCATAATTACGGAAATCTCCAGAGTCGATTGGGATCAATTATGCTGAGTCTGAACAAAACCTGGCTGAATGACGGTTTATCCTAAATTAGAGTTTGTGTTCAAAAGCCATGTTAGTCAGCGCAAGTTATTTAGTTGAAATTTGGTGCTGTCGAAATAAGACGAGCTGGCCGTTAGTCCGGCTATGGTGTGTGAGTCTTGAAACCCTGCTAAAAATGAAGCCTACCTTAGCCGTGTAGGCTTCGAGTAGCGATGGTCGGAGTTATGGAACGGATAGTCGTCAGGCCAGAATTTTACGACCGATGCGATACAATGTAACGCGATGGACACACTTCTTTCGCGGAGCACTGATCAAGTAATCATACGGTCTGATGAGCGGAATGTCGCGGATAGTCCTCGGAAAAGTGATATGAATTGCCACCTAAGGAAATCAGTTGTCAAACAGTTCCACACAATTGTAGAGAATAGTATCGTGTTCGCCGCAGGAAGAATGACAGTATACGGCAGGGTCACTTTCCAAATTGTTGTGAGAACAATAGTCGCTTGAGTCCGTTTTGTAAGCTTCAAAATGATTGCAAAATAAGGAACTGGTATATCACCGGAAAATTGATAAGACTGCCGGAACTAATATATGGTGCTATTTATATAAACGAGAACATTAACAAATTTATACCTCGACATTTTCTAATTTTAGAGAATAAGCAAATGTGGTTAAAACAATAAAGTATAGCGTAGCCCAAATCCCAGCAGTCTAGCGTCAAACATATGAATGGCAAGTAAATCAATTTAAAGCTATCACATGCCGTTGTTTGTCGACGAAATCTTCCCGCCCTTCGTAGCTCCCATGCCTGGAAAGTCCTTCTGACTCATGTTATCCTTGCCCCGACATTAATCATAGTCAAAAAACGTATTGATGACACGATTTCTAACTTGCATGGTTTGAGGAGAAACGTTTAACTTTGAGGACATAATTGCCCAAACCAAAACATGCGCTTGACGAAGCTCTCCAAAACTTGGTGGTGAGGATACATGCATTAGATCCTTGTGAGTAGCATGGTTGTACTTACACTGGAGTAAATTATCACATCGATCAAGCGAACCTACTCACGAGTGAGAGCTTTCATATCCTTTTATATCTGCAATTGAGCTACTATCTTAGAACGGTTCTGTATACTAGTTTGCGTGTGCACATCTAATTCCAGTTTCCGGTACTAGTTGTGCAGCGGTACATTTAAACCTCCTGACTAGAAAATTATCGATTTAATTATCTGCTTATCCATTTCTTTTTATTGTCACTCAAACCATCCTGTGCGACTTGTCATGCACAAGCGAATTTAACTGTGCGAAATCATCGTTTCTCGTTAACTACATCTATTGAGCAAATCGTGTATCATGCGTAGGCGTCTGAGCCCTATTGCGAAGCGAGTCCCCCTAGTCGATCCAAGTGTGTTTCGCCCGAAGGTACTAATATTGATCCAAACACACCATGTTTCTACTGTTCTCCGTTCATCAACATGCTGTTGCCACAATCAGTTATGTTTCTGCCAAAAGCGAATGCCCAAAACGACCTTTTCGCAATACTGACGCTTGTTATGTTGCCACATTTCCACTGAGGTCATTTAGCTGGCCTTTCCAGATTTCGACTACAGAAACACTACGAGGTTTTAGGGAGAACCATTGATTTAGTTACAGTCGACACGTAGGATCAAATCTCTATTTAACTTATTTTATTCTTGAAATGGAACTATATGACTAACTTCTCTCACCTTATCAAGTGTAAATTCTTTCGGGAGAAAATTTGCCGTACGTACTCTACATCGGAGCGCTCGAGCACGCTGCGCAAAAGCTCCATGACGGGCATATGTACATAACTCTAAGGCTGAACATGTCATTTGCACATTCAAATTGCTACCGACTAGGGCGAGCATGCACTGGCTTTAGCTAACAGAATACAGGCACTAGAATTCGTCGATCAATTCACTCAATTTGGTAGACGTGCAGGATCTGGTAGAGATTATTGAACGCATCAGCCCTCGTGACTCCTCTAAATCTTACACAGCTAAAGCGAAGGTGAGACATCATTTCATTGGTCCATGGCATGTTTATCAATCTGTGGTTAGAAAGTTGTTAGTGCATCCGTCAGAAAATGGATTAAAGCACGTTGAAGGCAAGATCAATTTTTTGTCTCTTTTCGCTGGTCTTTGCGTTGCACTGCTCTTAATTGTTGGAATCATAGATGGAAAGCTGCTGGTGTGTACCATGTAGGGTTTGGAATGGAAAATTTTGTTATCTGATTCAAAAGTTTACTAGTTTCCTACTAGTTAAAATCATCTGGACATATTCGCCGCATATCCATTGATCACTTTCGTCGATAAATGTGCTATGCTGTTAAGAGAAACCAGATGATTACAGTCGAGGAATTCGCACAACTGTATTGTAAACTTGAGGAAAATATTGAGCTCACTGGATTGTATCGTGTTGGATCACATCGATAAATGGATACCTTACTTTGATCGGAGCGCCGGAGGTAGTCACATGCGCACTAGTATTTGCCCGACTATGCCTTACGGTTGAAATTATCTTCAAGGAATTTCAATCACAGATTAATCCCAAATTATTCTAGGTTCGTTATTATTAGGTATTCCCATCCCTGTTGCCTAACACGGTTGGGAAACTTTTGATTGTTCTGGTTAGGGTAAAATTTCGTGCTCAGCAATTTTAGTGTGATGTAGAGGATGAGAACCACAAAGTGGAGAAAACGAGTTAGTGATAACTTGAAAGTGTTTCATAAAGGTCAATATACTTTGTAAAAGATATCCTGTGAGCGAAACCACTTAGACTGGGAAACTTTTGAAAAGCACAATTTTGTCGCTTTTTCCTGCTTCTTGATATGCACTCGCTGCATTTCTTTTCCCTTCGTGTGTGCCAACACTGGAACGCTCTTCCCACATACGTTGTTTCTTCCCCCACTCTATCGCTATTCAAAAGACGTCTGGATGATTCGCTTATCCACCTACATTACGCTATATAATCAGAGATGTCCACGTTGAACAAACACGAAAAAAACGGTGCTCATTCTCAGCTTTTGTGCTTCACTATTTACACACTGCTGTTGTGGAATATAGTATCGGATATATTACAACTGCATTCATCAATTTACCCCAGTCCAAGAAAGCGGCGCACGAGTAAGCGTTGGTCGTTTCTCTTGTTCATAAGACCTGCCTTACCCATATTACTTCCTATATTACTCTACAGTAACAATTCAGTACATATTCTATAGCGTTTCTATGAATAAGGGGCACTTGAATTCACTAGAAGCTTAAACTGACGCTTTGCACTTATGTTTACTTTCACTTCAACCATCCTACGGGACTTGTAAAGCAATCGCTTTTTTACCTGTAATATATCATTGTTCATTGTTTATTGACTGTTTGTCAAAACAATGTCAATGCGTCTGTGGGAGCGGTTATTGTGGGGGGGGGGGACGATGATGTGCCTAGAAAGAATTATGGTTACTGTATAATGCATTATAGAACAAGTAGAAATGTATTCTGTCCAACTCTTGCGCAATATAGTGAAAATCTTCAAAAAGATCGTCATACATAAATACCGTTATCGTTATTATCTGACACATAAAACATCTGACCCTCGTTATTGCTGGACTCAGAAGTGTAACATGTGATCGTAAGTGTGCAATCATTCTCTGATTAATATACTGGTAAATGATTAATCTAACAAGGTTTTGAACTCATGCACATATGTTGCCTCCATCACATGTTCCGACAAACTTTTCCAAATATTTACCACTCTCCGTTCGAAGAGCAATGGGTGGGGAAATCCCTTCCCATCCGTCCCGACAAGTTTGTATCAGTGTCCGCGTGCGCTGCATGGCACTCGTAGGTGCAGCATTGGCCTCGGCATGAGCAATTCACCGCGATGTAGAATACGGTAAGTAATAATGAGGTCTACTCGCACCGGACGGAAAGACAATGTGTATAGCCCTAGTTTCTCGTACCCGTCTTCATAACCCAAGCCACTTTTACTCGGGATGAGCCTGGTAACGGAGTGTTTGAGCTGTTCGATATTTTGTGCCTCGCCTCGGGTAATCGCAATGTAGGCGGGTGGATCATACTCTAGCATTCGTCTAATGATGGAAGAGAAGAGGTGATTGACAACCTATTCAGACCATGTGCGGAAGCTACGTCTGAGCTCCCAAAGCGTGCTCATTCTGCTACGATATTGCCCGTTCGTGTTATCTAAGGACTTTAAATCGTAGCGCGAGAATACGCCTAGTACCTTCACGGAGGGTGTGGGATATAGCGTTTGGCCGTCAAGGGTGTAAGTTAGGCTGAAAACACACTTCCGCAGCCTCATGAATGAATACTTGGCTGGCTTGACCGGGAGACGAAGTTCTGATGACTATATGAGTAGGCGGTTAACGTTTTGCTGTGGTAGGCCACAATTATCTGGAGCGTCAAATGCTCTCTAAATATTCATGTCGTCAGCACACTGCGATCGAAGAAGCTATGGTAGAGCGTTGATGCATATCAGTAGTAAAGTGCGCCTCAGCACAGTGCCTTATGGCACGCCACTTGTAGAGGGATACCAGTCAGTTAGACAGTCGTCAAAGTGTACCATAAAATTTCGCCTAACCAGCAAGTCGCAGATCAACTGGTGCGGTGAGCGACGAACATCACACATCCTGAGTTTGTGAAGGAGAGCCTCATGTCTGACTTTGTCAAACGCTTTTCTGAAATCGATGAATCTCATGTCGACGGACTTTCCTTTGCTTATTGCCTTCAGCCAATCATGCCCCGTCAAAAGCAAGTTTGTAATGCATGTGCGGCCTTGCCTAAAACCGTGCTGTGCGGGCGTCAGGACTTCTTTTGATTGTGGCAAATTCAATAATTCCTTCTTCACGATTTTCTCAGCAAATATTAGGAAAAATGGGTGTCAGAAAAAGTGATCTTTAGTTGTCTAATTTGATGGGGCCACTCCTCTCTGAAATAGGCTTCATCATCGCACATGTCCAGTCAATTGGCAAGAAACCTTCGGACAGCGACTAGTTGAAAATCTCAGTCACAGGAGGAGAGATGATGGCCACAAGTGGCTTAAGATTCAGTGGGTAAAGCTTATCAATTGCTGCAGGTTTGGTGCCATCAAAGCTGGCGAGTATTTTACATAACCTTTCAACGCCGTAATGCGGAATGTCGAGTTGGGTAAAATCGGTACATCTCGCACTCGGAACAGACACCCGGCTATTTGCAAATACAGAAGCGAAATGCGCTGCCGACGCGGAGGCACGCTCAGTGCGGCAGGTTAGGTGCTGTCTTTCCGGGCCATTTAGCACTGGCACATCACTTCCTGGCTTCAGGCATCGCTTCAGGTAAGTGAAGATTCTCTTTGGAGCGATCTTCGCGGCGATTGCAGCTGCCCTTGGAAAAGTCAGAGCTTGTTCATTTTTGCTTTTTGCAGCAGTTCCGCTGACTTTTATATCCTTCGTGGTCATTGACAGAGCCAAATAGGAGGAATCTGTCCCACAATCTGCGCCGCCTCCAAACAAGATTTCCAGACTACTTGTCAAACCAGTGATGCTTAATCGGTCCAAGCTTCTGACAATTCCACGGCATAAACTGGGTCCAAACTGACGTTAATCTCTTGTATAAATATCCAAAAGTCTTCCGCAGATGAAGTCTATGCTAGAGACAAATCCAGGTGGCTCGCGACTGGAGATAGACCGTCGAAGTCCGTTTTCCAGCAGCTGTATGCTAGTTACAGCCGACGTGAATACGGCAAATTACATATCCGTTATGAACACTGAGTGGTCGCTTTTATCCAGGGGCTCCAGGACACGAACGTCACGCAATCGTTGTTCGTAGCTCGTTAATAGCAAGTCAATAAAGGATGGGATCGAGCGTGGTGTTTATGCGTGTTGGCTCGCTTATATGTTGGGATGCACCAGTATTAAGTACCAAATCCACCAACTTTGCTTCAACCTCACCATATCCAGGCATCAACTGCACATCAGGCCATCGTATTCAAAGACAGTTAAAATCGCTCATATGTAGAAAGTGTGGACGACTTACGTTAGTAATTTTCTGTATGTTGATCTATAGCACGGGACCGAGCTGTTCATCGCAGGTAAATACCATTAGGTAAATCAGTCCTTCTCAAGTAATTAGTTTGTCCTGATGGCTGTACCTGGGCCTCGACCAACATAGTGTATTTTAAAAAAGGCACACTCGTCCTAAATCTCTTAGAAATTAAAGGCACCCACAAATTGGCTCATTTCATCCGGTCGTTCCTGTCATGGCATATTACATTACATCAACTCGTAGATATAGTACGACCAAATATGCATTCCAATACATTTTGCTTATGACCCTGTCAGACTATAAATATATATAATTCTACAGCATGGAAAATCCGTTAATCAAACATTAAGGCTAATAGCTGTTTAAAAACAAATACTTCGAAATTATTAGCGTTGCGGTGTAACCATTCATTACAGTACTTAGTGATGGGTGGATTAGCCTAATGTTAAATATACTAGGTATTGGAAGTCAGCTTCATGTTTCGCAAAGATCCGTATTATATTCATTCAATAGCAATTAAAAAGCCTCACATTTCTGGAGTAGTGATGTGTTCTCTGCTAACGTTAGATAATGGCATGACGTGCCAACTGCGTGTGTTGGGTTTAACTGGTCTTTGCAAGTGGTTAGGCAGCATTGTGCCAGTATGTAACAGGTTTTCATTTGGGAAACCTTTTCAGCATGCTTGACTTTTAACCTTCTAACAAAGTTTAACATGACAGTGGCGCCTTGAAACTAGATGAACTCACCGATCCTTGTTTTACTCTGATAGGACAATGCATGCATGCAACACCATGCTACAATTATGGAGAATATTAGCTGCAGCTTGACCAGCGGTCTGATGAAACCCATGCGAACTCGGCAACCATTGATTTGCTTCCAGAAAAAGCAACTTCTCATTTTCGATCCGTTGCCTTGCGGTTAGCTCCTCAGCTAATGGCTCCGGATGGCGTCTGTTAAGTAAACAATGTAATTAGAAATTGGTACAAGCTTGTATTTTAACTCCTAAGAAATGTTGGAATCCTGGGTGTTGTGGTCGATATTCGTTGTACACCATGTTTACTCTAATTTCCATGGGTTTCATTTTATAAACTTATTTACACACATACCTAAATATATATATATATCTACATAAATATATGTATATATATTAAGGGACAAGGTGGCATATGTGGTGGATTAATGGTGCAAAGCGACGGTTGTCATGGCTTTGAATCCTAATGGACCGGATAAATGCACAATACCATTGATTTTCCAAAGGTTAAAATTACAGTCTAGTGCGTTCTAGTCAATAATATGCATAAAAGGCAGAACCATTATTTCGAAAATATAATGCACATTATCAATTATTTCGATGTTGTAATGTGATAGTATATTTGTGCAGACATTGTATTAACATACGTATGAAAAGAGTAGGCATTTTGAGTCACCCTTAGTGGGTTAGAGCGGTATTAATGCAGAATTGGTTTCACGAATATCTGGATAAACCAAATTACAAATACTTGTGTATCATAAGCCTCCTGACAATACAACGTAGGTATAGTAATGTAAAAAAGGATATAACACGAGGTTGTGTATCCTAGTACCTATTTTGCTCATGAAACTTATGGTCACCATATGTTCACCATATGTACAAATGTTCGACATTGACGAGCAACTCACCATATGTTTGTTGGCTAACATTTTAAAATTAAGTTGCGCTGCATGTGTTCAACTTCATTTTGCTATGCAGGCGGTAGTGTCTTTATTAATATTTCGCCAACGTATAGTATTTATAGGGAATGAATCTGTGTGAATTTGGGTGAAGATTTTCTAATGAAGAACTTGCACTCTCATAATAAAATGATAGCTCTACATCCTACATATTGTGTAAAGAGATAAGCAATGGTTTCCACAAACGCACCTTTCGACGGTACGACAAAGCATTGGGATTAGTGTCAACATTAAATCTTTTGCACTTGTATCATATTAAATTCAAATAAATTCCACCAAGAGTAACGCTTCGCTACAGTGAAAGCCACTCCGTCTGCAATTGATCAAACGTAGCCGAGACTTCATAGTCTGCTGCAACGCTTTAAGCAGTTGGTATATATGTATTCGCCTGATGAGTATTATCGAACAAATATTTCGTAGCTGAAATATATGTTTACAAATACATGTATGTTTGCGTTATAAACGCTGTTGTGCGACAAACTTAGCCACAAGATACTTTCAGAAAAAATAGTTGCTAACACGAACTATCCTACTATCAATCCATCAATAAACACATAGTTAACGAATTATTCACCATGATATTAGCTTAATGACTGACAGTAGTGCGGATTATTCACCAAAAATATTCAGGGACGCGGGTCATACAATTCACGTCAAGTTCAATATTTTAGTGCTAGACGCTTAACTCGAGATTACAATGGCGGTGAATACTGCATTTACACGGCTGCTAGTGTTGATTTGATTACTGTAGGCGCATGCCTACATCGTTCCTCCTAGTAAACCAGACTTATGTACAAATGATTGTTATTAACATACGCAGGCAATATCAAGTAACTAGTTGAACCATGGTTTAAGGGTATGCAAGCCGCATGATTTTGTATAGTAAATGGTAGCATAATATTACATCGATGCATGGTATAACTGGATGATAGCATACAAATCTTGGAGCGAAAAATTGACAGATGGCAAAATGCAAGAATGGGATGTTTCATAAATGCTAATGCGTTTAAAATATGCAAGGATATTCAGACACATTTATATCACAGTAGGAGGTCCATGGCGTGATTAAAACTTTCGTATTGAGCAGTTGACATCATGGCTTTAATAAGATAATAATGTATAGAATTCTAGTATAAGTTCACGTGTAACCCTGTCAAGCACACGAATTGTGTGTCTGTGCAACTTGGCTAGCTGGTTTTTGCTGTTGTTCTTTGGTGTATTTGGCCCGATTGCTATTACCTTTGACGACGAATGTAAGCTCTATGCTCCATAACTTACCACTGCGCATCAACGTTTATTCATTTTGCGCTATATATTGGTGAAAAATAAAATCACATCAGCGTTTTTTATTCTTCAATATTCCAATATTAATTGACAGTTACATGTCCACTACATTTCCCTCCGCAGGTGCACCGGCTGCTCCTTTCAAGAAGCTTACTATGTCTGGATGTAATGCTCGCTTTTGTGAGATACGTTATAACCGCTACAAAACAATAAACATTGAATTTCAAGCTGGTGAGTTTATCAACTAACGAAGAGTAAACTTGCAAGCTGAAAACTGAGCTGAGCACAACCAAATAAATTTTATTCACCATGTCTAAATTGACAGCTGAGAAACTGGGCGATTTCAATGTGAAAGTTAGCGCGTTGTTGTCAAAACCCGCACGCCGGTTTTTGATCTTTGATTTGGAAATGGACTGCACTCCTTTTAATGAAAATGAATGTAGAATATCAAAACATGGGACTAACTACACCATATCTCATCCCGTTATAATCAAAGAACCATGGCTAAAGGTAAGTAAAATTGCCGGACTAAATTATAGAACCTGAGTTTACTATCAGGTTGATAACAATTACGTGTCGCAATTTTTGCGAACTATTTTGGTCGGTTAAATGCCATCCTCAATTTTCATCACGCTATACAGTGGAAACAATAGCCACCCTGTGCGAATAAACACATTTGTCTCGCTGATATTTCAGGATCAACATACATTGGAATGGACGTTTTGGTCTGACGGAAAACGCATAATTTGTTCCCTCATTGAAGTTTGGGTTTGGTGACTTACACCATTAAAATAGAGATTGGTTGGTGAGGTTGTTTAATTTAAACACTTCACGCATTTATATTTACTAATTGTAACAATGAACAGAGTAAAAATCTTTTGCAAATATTCGGCATTTCATGTCATTCTATTTCACGGACCGGCACACGAAGAACTTTGCACTTATTACAAGTGGAATGTTTAAATTACAAATTTGGTTACTTTACTATTACTTTGTGTACACGGGGTACTAGCAAACAACACATGATTAATTTAAGAAGTTATTGGGTCCACCGGAACATTCATAATCTGCACAGTTTGTAAACGTCGCGCCATTTTCAATAACCCATTTTACACAAAATTTTGTGCTTATTAACCAATTCAAGGAAATTCAGACGCCCAAGTGGGCTTTATGCATCTAGGCAATGGATTATTTGTGATCAACTAGCACACTAAGAAGGCGGATATGCATACTGTTATATAAACTAAATGGTCAGAGTGTCTGATATTTAATGGTCGGCTCATATCACTCTGGTGGACGAGTTTGAATCACACTGATAAGTTAATTTGGCTTATTTATTAAGCGAATATAACACTAAGATGTTAAGACACTTAAAGAAATATACTTTTTATATGCAGAAGATGTATAACAAATACTATGATGGGTGTAAAACGTATGACTTATGTGTTAAATAAAACCCTCTTAAACGAAAGTAAATGCTTGTTTAAATTAATGCTTTAGAGCAAATCTCTTGGCAATCCACCACAACTGATAGTGGGTTTTACGGACGAAAATGATAATATGTAGAATTCTGAAATAAACAAAGACCAAATTAGAAGGAACAATAGATCATATGATATGTAGTAAATGCTGTTGCACTTTTCCAATTGCCTTAAAGCATTTGAAGCCTGAATGTAAGCTTAGGCAAGTTTTAATCATATACCCATACAAATATACCAGATGGGATAAAGATTCTTAGGTCTACAATTTTGACAAACAGAGAAAGAGCATTTGTTATCTTTACTGGGGAATCAGCGTTCAAAGCTGATCATAGATTACCAACACAACGATAAGACAATCTTTCTTCACTACTTTAAATTGCAAGCAGGAATTGACGTAATAGCAAATGTTCACCTTCCGTTCGCGCTCTAAAGCTATATTTTTGTCCCTTATATTGAAAAATAACAACAAGGATAAGAGAATGGTTCTATGGCAGACATTTACAAAAATAATGCAAGAACATTGACAAATTTACATTAGAAAGCATACAAATAGATACACCAAGGGAAAACAATATTGACGTATGTTGGCCTTACGGGTTTAGGCAAAGGCAAGCTAAATAGAAAACAAGTGAGCTTTCAGTAAGCTATCCACAATTAGATAAGCCCAAATCTCTAGCTAAGCATTAAATGGAAAGTTCCTGAACAAGCTGGGGTCTGTTTAATTTTATAAATTACTTTATTATTATGTTAATAATTATGTAAATCCAATGGGTGCACGGGGAATTTATAACCGTATGAGGAATGAATATTTGCTATTTTTAATATTTATTATATATTTTTTGTAATTTAGTGTGTCAAAATCGATAGAAGTTGATTTGAAATTTGATGTGTATATATATTTTACTGGGACGAATCGGCTACGTGATTTATTGGTTTACAAGACTCCTTCTGGGACACCGTTGATTTTCAGAATTTACTCGCACTATTTTTGAAATAAAAAATGTTTCCCTAGCATACAACGCTAATAATGGTCGACAGAGATACATATTTTGACTGGCAGCAAAACTTTACTTAAGTTTAATTAAGTTCTTATATAAACGACTACCAAATAGTGCACAAAATGAATGCAAATGTTGTCTACGCAGCTTATTATAATGGTGCTCAAATTGACAAGCTAATACAACGACATTTTTTGTCATCTCCATGGATATTGTGCTTGTTCATGTTGTATTTTCTATTTGTTCATTTCATTCAACTAATGAAATGATATCATGAGTGCTAAATGACATAATGGCATTATACTTATAAAATATCAAAGTGTTCTCTTGTCCGTGGAATATTTGTATGCATGACTTAAGTTTAGTAAAAATAAATTACGCAACCGTGAAAGCCGCATCTGTGAACTCACCATACTATCCACATTAGCACTTGTATACAATTCTACCACGATTTCGTCGCGGTTGATGGTCAAAATGTCTGCGCGTTGTCGTCAATTGATGAGCAGAATGCAACTCAAATAAGAATCGTATAACACACGCTATGGGTGTTTTTTAAATATGGATCCGGCGGACACTTGAATCACTAATGACGAAAGCGCGTTCCTTGGCTAACTAATTTGTAGATAAAAACAATTCCAGAGGCCTAACAGCTAACTGTATTGCACAGCGAGTTTCAGCTGGTGGTGCCTGTATTTTGTGTCACAGCTAAGGTCCATGAGATGGCGGCAAACATGGTTGAGATTCTCCTAGTTCTGGCACCACAGAATCACGTCTCACTGTAGAGGGCAATAAATTCCGCTGTACATTCTCATGGCCTTCACTCTCAAATCTTATGGTAGCTGGAACGATCCGTTCACAATATGTTTGCTCTTTGCTAGAGGGTCTCAAATCTAATTGGATCGCGTTTTATCCATTATTGCCAACCTGTATCGCGTACTCTAACCGGAGCCCTATATTTGCGTTGAGCATTTAAAAGAAGATCGAGGGGTGAAGTTGCCAGTGCGCAATCCGTTTGAGACAAACATTGTTGTTACCTCTTTTAGCTACCTTCAATGACTGCACCGAACAGACAAGGCTGTGTTGCGTCATCATGCGATGGTCGCGTTCCTGTGACGCGGTATTTGACACATGGTCTTCATGCTAATATGGATTAGTGCGCTTGTGCGGTTATTGTATGGATTTGTACTTCCAGAGTTGATGGGAGTTATAATTACCTTTGGCCGTTTAAAGCCTGGTCTAAGTCCAGTAACAGCGGATCGCGAAATTCATGGTTGTCGAACGCCCACCCTACCTTGATATCATCAACATATATATAAAATTCCAATTGATCATAACATAAGGTCATCTAACTAAGCGAAGGAAAATCGTAGCCACAAAACCGACATTTGTGGAATCTCGTAGTCCACATCATTGGAATCAAAACTAAGTTCCAAACTCTAACTGGGTGCCGCAGTTGATGGAGAAAATATAAGATCTATGTGTGGACAGAGATTCAAATTTCACAGGATTGTAGCTTATGGTGGTCTAAGCTGTCTAGAAAATCGAAATGCACGAGTTAATTCCCGATCCCACTATCGGCTATTTCGTCCAACTGTCACACGCAAACGCAAACCAGTTTCACATAACCGATGATGACAGAATCCGTGTTGCACCGGCGCTATGATTTCAGAGCTTTCTAAGTAGTCTATTATTGCGTCAGTACTAATCTATTTCATCAACTTGTAGCGCACAGAGTTGGTAGGAAACAGACGATTTCGGCGGGCTGCAGACAACAAAGTCCATTAAAAATCGGGGAACTAATAACATGCGTCCCTACGCTATGTGACTACTGTTTACCCCGACATGAACTGGCACAGTTAAAACACACAAAACGTCTCCAGAACATACTATTTTCTATAATGGAAAACACATTTAAATGCGAGCAGGTTTCGTCAGATCAAAGTTTATTGTAGAAATATATAGATGTTGGCCTTTTGTTGAATTGCTTTTCAGTGAGTTTCTTCGAATGTCGGTGAACGGCAACAATCGCGGTACCATTTGTCATTTTTACAATTTTCGTGTGCTCACAAATTAGTTTGTAATAAGTAATGGTACACATTATAGTAGCAAGAACGATGTTGCACATAATCAAATCCGAGGAATCGTGGAGGTTACCATTTATCAGAAGATCACTTTTGATTAATGCTCTTAACTTGGTATTTGTTCCATCTATGATATAGGTGGATAGACATGTAATCACGCGTCGCTATTCCAATATTTTGCATTTGTGGATAATGTGGGATATCAGCTTATCGGTCCACGGCATGGAGAGCAATCCAGCGGTAATACCACCGTTGTGATGTGAAGCAGAATTACTTATACCTAATGGGCATTTATGATATAGCTGAGCACTGCTTAGGTTCACTGGGGAAATGTACGGTTCTAAGCATCATCAGACCCATATGGATCATTTACTTCAAATTAGTCAACTAATTGTGAACGGGTATGCATTCCATGCCAGACACCTCATCGAAGTTGCTGAGGAAACGCCTCCTGCACCAGGCTGACGACAGTGACATCAAGCTGACACAGCCAGCGTTATGCGAGCTGGGGTGCTTGAGCAACCCCCCACCTTACGGCGAACAGCTAGAAAGTGCTGGCAAAATTAGTATAATTTTACAGAATGCAGCAAACACTTTAGCTATTTCATCCCGTTAGTTGGAAAATGCAAAGATTCCAGCTGTAAATTGAGTATACTTTCCAAAAAACATGAATTACAAATTCATGAAAGGCATAGAGTGAATGTTATTTGCACTTTCTAGTTATTCATACACTGCGTGCTTAGGTCGGTGAGCTGTCGCTTATTTGTAATAATGTTTAGCTTCATCTCAAATTAGAATTGCCCCTAACTTCTCTATTGTACTTACGCCCGGGCTACTACTGGACGATAGTGACATTACAACACTACAGACCAAAAGAAAACGACTTACTTCACGCCGCTTGTGACATGAAGCACTTTCACACAGGAATGTCTAGTCTCCTGTAATTGTAAATGCTTTTCTCCTTGCCAAATTACTTAGCGGAGGGAACAGTTGGTGCTCTAGTAGTGTTTTATAGAGCTGGCTAATGTTACCATGGACGATGTAGATCCGATCTGTTCCGTAGATGCTCATAACGCTTCATACCGTGACCTGAGTGGGATGCTTGTCTTTATGAACGACACAGGCTTTCCTCATCTGTAATTCAGGTAATCGCCGGACATATATAGGGTGACGCACTCATTGGTCGTGCTGCATGTGACGAACACTCAGACGGTTTT